AGGAATTCTTGTTTTCATGCAGAATTATTGCATTTATGTATAATTTCTCCACAGTCATGGCTGTATTCATTGCATTTTTTAGTGTTTTCTTTCATTTTTCTCTCAAATTCTGTTAAATAGAATATTGGACCCTATAGTAGAACGTGTTCAAATCAAATCGCAGCAAATATCGCCCGTGTAAACGGGCCTTTAGACAGTACAAAAAGGTGGTAAAGTAGGGCAAATCTGGGAGGATTGCTAAGGAAACACCCCTTTAGAAAAGGGCACTAATTACCGCAAACCTTTCTCGACAGGCCGGTTTCGCATTACATTACGATCCAATTTTTCTAAAGTGAATATCTCTACGAGTATTTACCCCCCTTTAAAACAAAAGACACCATTAAAATCCTTGCATAATAACCTTTCGAACGGGGGGTCAAGTGCCGTCAGAACATTGACACAAAGCGACAATCATATATTTATACTCACCGCTTGGCCAAACAGTCAGTATTTCATATGGAGAAAAAGTTGAATATCTTCTAAAATTTCGTCGTTTTTTGAAAGGTTATATGAGTAAGATACTCTCTGAATTCAAGCGCTCCTTTAGCCGGGATGACGTCAAACTCACGCGTATAGGTGCGTAAACAATATGGCGGTCAGCTGTGAAATTTCAAGCTCACTCAATCATACGAATTTTATCCTGGAGAATGTCGATCTAGAGCCCATTAGACTGTTAAATAATCAAGTTTTACCTAACTTATGATGGCACCCGCATTAAATGGGCTCAAGACTTTTCATCATTACAGAATTTTGTTAAAAACGTCGCTGGACTAAGCGGTGAATGGGAGTCTCCCGGCGGTAGAGCAAAACGATTTAATGGCTCGAATCTCGATTTTGTTATGACTTGGTATCCGGGAAAGCTAAACTCTTTGATATTCCACGGTAAAGAAGGCGAATCATTCAAGAAATTTCGGGTGCGTATTTTACAAACAAACTCCGCAAATCAAACAGACGCTATCACGGACGGAGTATTAAATACAACAACCAAAATACCCCTTGAACCTAATCTTTTGTCGGGAGATTTAGACGAAACTAGCAACAATACGAGCACTCATATCAATTCATCTGTGTATAATGGTTCTTGCTGTGAAAGCAGAATCGATAGTAAGGTTTTGAAGGATATTAAATCGGACGTCGCGGCTTTACAAACACAAATGAACTCTGTCAATGCAATCATAGACTCCACTAACGCAATTATTGAGTCCATGAGTGCTATTCTGATACCTTCAGGTCCCGAGAGTGGCCGCGTACCTTATGATCTTAGACTCGAAACGTTTCTACAAGAGTTTTCCGTAATTTTAAAAGAGAAGAACAAGACTATTACAAATCTTCAGGAGAAGTTGATTCAAGTCGAAAACGAACGTGATTTACTGAAATTTGCATCTCAAAATCTGGACAAAAACACAACGGCCAAACCTATAATTAATGAGCCCCTTAACCAAAATGCAATCAAAGCAACGCAAATGCTAATTTAGACATAAATATACTAAGTGCCGATTTAAACAAAGAAAACAACAGATCATTGTACATCCCCTTGCCTGCAACACCTTCCAATGGTGTGCTTTTAAAATCAGTAAATAACTTAACTGATAGCATGTCCGATGAGCGTTCAAGCCAAGAAACCACAACAAGCTTTCCGAAATCCTAATTAATAAGCATCCTAAACAAAGGACAAGCCAAGACGTAGAAAGTATCCAACCCAGTGGTAAATTATCTACACCGAATACAAAAATTAATTTTGTTGACAAACATAATCGTCATAAGATAGCACATGACAAGGCCGAATACGTTCCTTTAGAGAAACGTAAGAAAAATCCTTTTCGGAAACATTATTTCCGATACAAACCACCTTCTCTCCTTCGCCGACCGACCAAAGATTGGCTAAACCACTTAAACCTTGTCCACATAATAACCACGGAAAGCCCCCACAAGAACCGGTTTTTGTATAAAAAAAACCTCTACAACGGCCATCACCAGTTCGAATCACGAACAGACTTCCAAAGAAAACGTATCACTTTTCTCCCCCTTGTCGGGGCGGTACGGTATTGAGTGGAAACGTTAACTCTAATAATAGCGGAATGGGGGAATCATCTAGTTTTAACAAATACTCGATTCCTACAATCATGAAACCCAGGAAAAACAATCGGCCTGAGTGCATCAGTGTCCCTGATTATAGTTCATTAATCCCCTTGCGGAGATCAGTTACAATTCTACGCTTCCCCAAGATTTGGTGTAGTAATGTTAGGTCGATGGTCAATAAGTTAGACGAGGTCTCAGCATCAATTTCCAACGAATTATACGATGTTGCCGTAATTACTGAAACATGGTTAAATTCACGAGTAACTGATGAACTTATTCGTATACCTGGCTATGTATCGTGCCGAAGGGATAGACCGAATAACCAACGCGGGGGCGGTCTTTGTACCTATTTCTATTCTCTACTTAATTTTACTGAATTAACTGACCTGAGTGAGCCAGAAATTGAGAGTCAATGGTTTCTAATCAGAATGGAACGTTTACCACGAGGAATCAACTCTATTTTATTGGGAACAGTTTACCATCCTCCTCAGAGTGATGACCATGTTCTTCGAATGCATATCTTCAAATGTTTGGATTCTTTACTTGCCACCTATCCTAATTCTGCCATCTTGGTCCTTGGTGATTTCAATCAATTTAAACCAGGTAATCTCTGCAACTCCTTTAAATTGAAGAAACTGGTTACCAAGCCCACCAGGGAAAGTAATATCCTTGACCAAGCTTTTTCAACTCTGTCACCTTACTACGATGCCATCATCCTGCCTCCTATTGGTCAATCCGATCATTCCAGTATCTTACTACAACCTATTTTGACACATGCTCCAAGTCTACCAACCACACGATTGCAAAAGCGTGATTATCGAGCTCCTAACAAACAAAATTTGATCTCTCGTCTGAATACTGTTAACTGGACGCCACTCATGCGGCTGAATTCATGCGAGGAACAACTGGATTCTTTCCAGTCGGTAGTTCACGTTGCTTTGAATTCCTGTATCCCCATGCGTACTGTGAAACATCATCCTAACGACAAACCATGGATTACTCCTGTTATTAAAGAATCTATTAAGAAACGTCAACAAGCTTGGTTGAATAATGACTTACACCAATATAATGTTTATCGCAATAAAGTGATAAAACTCTGCAAGAGAGCACGCCAAAGATTCTACAATGACAAAATTAATCACATGCATGAGAGTAATCCTAAAAAGTGGTGGGACGGAATCAAGCTGTTGTCTGGACTTTCTAATCCTCCCCCGTTAACAAGCTTAGCCGTAAATGGCACTGTTTTGAAGGACTTCGATCTTGCTGTCGCTATTAACGAATCCTTTTGCAGTGTTGCTGCTGACATACCACAACTAAACTTTACTCCCATACCTGTTTCCAACATTCCTGATGAGTACATTATTACCCGTGATGCCGTAGAACTTGCTTTGGTGGCTGTCCAAGATCGCAAGTCTGTAGGACCTGATGAGATTCCCAATTGGCTCTTGAAAACCTGCGCCACAACTATTAGCATCCCTGTGTGTTCCATGTTTAACTCTTCTATTAGAGAAGGTCGTGTCCCCGGGCTGTGGAAATGTGCGGATGTCCTCCCGTTGGGGAAGATCTTTAGACCGAAGTCTATTGATACAGACCTTAGACCTATATTTCTAACTGCAGTGTTGAGCACAATTCTTGAGTCTTTTGTTTTCAACCGGCTTGCACCTATTGTTATGCCATACATCGACCCTTTCCAGTTTGGTAGTGTGAAAAAGTCTTCAACCACTCACGCCCTCGTGCATTTAGTCCACTACTGGCTCTCTGCCCTGGAAACGCCTAACACCATTATCCGAACCTGCTTCATCGATTTTTCCAAAGCGTTTGATCGAATTGATCATAACATTCTGATGCGCAATTTACAGCTTCTCAATGTTCCACCGGTCCTATTAAACTGGTGTTCAAGTTTTCTTCAAGGCAGACAGCAGCGCGTCAAATTAAAAACTTGTAAATCTGATTGGAAAGAAATAAAAGCTGGACTTCCGCAAGGTACCAAACTTGGTCTTCTGTTGTTTCTTATAATAGTCAATGATCTGTCCAGCGAATTGCCTTTGTACAAGTATGTTGACGATTGTGCAATCTCTGAAGTCGTTAGAGTATGTGAACCGGATCTACCAAAATTACAGCAAGAACTTGACAACGTGACCCAGTGGTCAAGTGCGAACAACATGAAGTTGAACGTTAAAAAAACTAAAGATTTCACCGTGTCATTTTTTATCAATCAACTCTTGGCGCAACCCTTGATTGTCAATAACCAACCCCTGGAGACTGTTAATACCATCAAGCTCCTGGGGGTAAATTTGACCTCCGATCTTAAGTGGACTACACACATCAGCCACAAATCCTCTAAAGCAAGCAAACGTCTGTACGCTTTAAGGATATTAAAGGAGAAGCCATTGACATGTCATGCCATGATGGCGGATGGTCATGCTAAGGTTAGCTCCATAGATATTCCCAATACTAAATTTAATGTTGGAAATGTGAATTTGGACGATATTCGAACGTATAAAAACAACAACACTCTTGTCTATGATGGGCAACGTTTAAAGTGGAACGGCAACTATGATGAACTGGAGAGTTTTTATTCAAAATACCGTTGGTTTGGGCGGTAAATGGATTTCACCAGCGGGAACTCTAAGAAGTTTATAAGCAACTCAGATCTGACAATAACTTGGTATTGCGGCAAACAACGAACATTAGTTGTCCAAGGTAGCGAAGGGGAGTCTTTAAAGGAATTACTGGTAAGCCTAAAGTCTCAGTAATAACTTGCACCGGTGATATAAGCGAAGTAAGCAACCTAACAACCGAGAATAATGATTATGGAGCCGAGATTCCTGTCGCCAAAATAGATATAATATCACCTATAGATAATTCGTCGCTTGCGGAGCTTGAGAATTTTATTGACGATTCATTTTGTAATATTATGAACTCCCGACACAGTGAAGTAACGAAGGGTACTGTGGAACAAGTATTTGTAAATTCTACCCCCTTTAAACACGCGAGAGCGACAGCGCCACTATAAAAAATGCATTATTTGACAATTTTAAAGAGAAGGTTGAATATGAAATATCAAATTTATTGGCTAAACTCACCAAGCAAGACGAAACTATCAACATAAATAAGCAAGATATATACAAATTGCGTGAAGAAAATTTGCATCTCAAATCACGTATCTCCAAATTAGAAGGAAAGATGGCCTCGGCCTCCATAGAAAAATTCCCTGGTGCTATTGAAGTATCTTGTGTCACACCTACAACGCAGTAAGTCCCCATAAGCACTAAGAAAAAGGCCAACGAAAACCGACTACCGGAAAGTAATGTGCCTAATATGCAGTCCAATCCAGAAGTTAGCGTACCTACTTATGAAAATTTGACCTTGCAACCGCGAACCCAGCAGACAAATAAGAATCGTTACGACCGCCCCCCAAAGAATTCCACTCCTTGTCCATTTCTTCTGCGTCGAGGTTGGTGTCGAAAGGGAGACCGATGCGACTTTCAGCATCTTAAATCATCTCGCAATACACATAAACGTAATGTCCCCTGTCCTTTTTTGCAGAACAGAGGCTTCTGTCTGAAAGACGATCGATGTGATTTCTCCCACGCTTGGGTACCAACCAGAAGGTCGGTATTAAAAACCACTACTAGTAGCCATTTGCCACCTGCCTCTTTTTTATCCCGAGCGCAAGTGCCATTGCAACCAAACGTCCACACAGACCAACCTCAGCAGCTCCAAACGTACAGCCTACACCCATGGCGACCCCCATCTTATCCAAGGCCGTTAATGGAAATCCCACTACCCTCGTCCAGTTTTCCCCGATTATCCTCCCAGATCCACCAAAACAGATTTTACTAAATCCTTCTAAACAGAGCTCCACTCCATGTATTTCCCTTGAGTCCTCTTCCACGTCAATGGCTCGTCAAATACCAGTGAGAACTTCCTACCGGAACGGCAGAACGATGCGGAATGCGCTAATTACAAATAAGAGGGGAGATAGGCGTAAGCGTAACACCAACTTAATACAAGTGAGAATTTTAAAACCAGCCCCCCCCCGTCTCCAAGATTATACCTAAATGTTTGGTAATTAACGCTGGATCACTGGCCAAACCAGATGCTGCGTCGGCACTTAATGCTGAATTGAGTACAAACGATGTTGACATTTGCATAATATCTGAGACGTGGCTCCCAGAGAAAATACAGTCCAGTCTTATTTGTCCTAGCGGTTATACTTTTGTGAGAAAAGATCGCAGTGCGTGTCGACATGGTGGTGGTGTTGCAATTATTTGCCGAAGTGATTGGAAAGTTAAAAAACTTGCTTGGCAAAATAACTTCGAATGCTTGTGGTGCGAAATTCAGACAAAAAATAGCAAATATCACATTGGAGCAGTTTATTACCCACCTGACCCAGAGTACTCTGAATCCGAATTTCTAGATCATTTGTCGGACAGTTGCGAGCAGATTTTACTCACCGAACCTAACGCTAGGTTAATTATCGTTGGTGACATAAACCAACTAAGGATACAAGATCTTTGTAACCAACATAACCTAAAACAACTGGTCAAAAAGTCTACCAGAGGTCCTAGAATATTGGACGTGTTTTTGACGAATTGCCCTCACTTGTGGAAACAACCCACCGGGCACACAACGTTGTTTCAACGTTGAAATTTGGTAGAAAAAAGGTTGCGACGTCGACAACCTAATATATACGTTGCTCTGACGTTGTTTTACAAACATTGGTTCAACAGCAGCCAACAGACGTTGAATTAACGTTCATTCATGGTTAAATGTACGACGTCGATTTGTGAACCAATCTCAACGTTGTTTTAACGTGGATTCAACGTTGAATTATGGTTGACGAGATTGGCAACCTAATTTCAACGTTGTTTCAACGTCGAAACAGTAACGTCGATCCAATTTGCATAGTCAACCCTTTTTCAACGTCTATCCAACGTCTGGAAGGTCATTTCCAACGTTGATTCAACGTTGCTTAAACGTCATTTTGCCCGCTGGGAACCCACTGTATTCAAAGGTCTAGTTAGGTCCGATCATTTGGCGGTTATGGTCACACCAAGGCTCCAAGCTAGACCCGAACGAAAACATGTCTACTTTAGAGATGTTAGGCACCACCGAAAGATTGTTATGGAGAATAAATTAAAAGTTTTCGACTGGAGTAAAGTCAACAGTGCTAATGATGCTGAGGAAGCAGTGTTGCTCCTGAACCAAGAAATTGTTTTAATGTTCAACGAGAGTTTTCCTCTAATCAAGATTAAAACCTCCTCACGTGACCCACCTTATATGTCCCCATTAATGAAACAGCTATGTAAAATACGAAACAAACAAGTAAAGGAGCCAACACTGAACTTCAGGAAAGAATAAATAAACTTATTCGAGATAATCAAATTCGTGCTGTGTCGAATGATAATAAAAAGTATAAACAAGGGGCGAAAGGTTGGTGGAATACTCTCAATAAAATCACAGGCAGAAGTATAAAATCCCATAACATTAGTTCCTCCATCGATCCAAATATTATTAACACCTATTTTCAAAGCGTAAATACGGACACTCTGTATACACCACCACAACCCTTAACAATCTCCCAAGAAATTCGAATTCCGAAGGTTGATATACAAACAGTTGAAACGTTCATGATAAAACAAAAACGAACTTCACCAGGCCCTGATGGAATTCCATACTGGCTGTGGAAAGACTACGCTCACTATCTTGCACCTGTACTTACTAAAGTATTAAATCTTTCCTTGCATGAACAGCACGTTCCCTCGCATTGGAAACTCGCAAATATTAGCCCAATACAAAAAGAGTCAACATTATCAGACTGCAGCCAGATAAGACCCATATCATTGACTAATATCATCATGAGACTTTTTGAGAAAATTGTTTTTAGGGAAGAGATTTTAGAACACTCTAAGTTAATCATTGGCCATGATCAGTTTGCCTATAAAAAGGAACAAATACAACGTCAGCCCTTATTAAATGTCAACATCATTGGCTGAAATGGTTGGACGAAGATGCCGAGTTTGTAAGGGTTTTATCTTTTGATTTCAGAAAAGCCTTTGACTCGGTCCCGCATGATATCGTAACTGGAAAACTTAAACAAACAAACCTAAATCTTTATATCATCAATTGGATTATAAGTTTTCTGACGAATCGAAAACAAAGTTTCGTGGTGGACTGAATTATAAAAAGATATGTAGATATTAACAAGGGAGTGCCACAGGGAACCGTCATTGGCCCGTTTCTATTTTCTCTTATGGTTGATGACATTAAACCCAAACAACCTGAAACTAATGTATTGGTTAAATGTGCTGATGACATGACAGTTAGTGCACCAGTAAAGTCAAATAGTGATTCTGCAACAATGGAAGTGAGGAACATCGAGAACTGGGCAAGGAGAAACAGAATGACTCTAAATCTAACAAAAACATGGGAGATGCTTCTGAGTGGCGGAACGTCTAAGCCGCCACCAGCGCCTATAGAAGGTATTGAACGCAAGGAATGGCTAAAGCTGCTAGGTGTTACTTTCGAGGACGATGTGTGCTGCTGGGACCTGCACGTTAATGGCTTGTTGTCGAAGGCCGGAAGCCGAATGTATATTTTAAGAGTATGTAGAAGGTATGGATATCGGAAGGAACATCTCAGCTATCTTTTTGACTCAATAATACTATCGTTGTTTTTATACGGTATTGAAATTTGGGGCTCAGCTCTTCAAAAGAAATATTTAGAACGCATTGACAAGTTTTTTAAGCGAGCGTATCGATATGGTTATATACTGAAAGAGTATAAAATGTCTGAGCTGATTGAAACGAGAGACAGAATTCTATTCAATAGGATTTTAGATAATCCAGAACATATTTTATATGAACTACTGCCTGAAAAAAGACAAAAAAATTTAAGAAAACGTGATCATCCTTTCATCCTACCTCAAGTCAGAACTGAAAGATTTAAGCGTTCCTTTGTAAATAGGCGTCTGTTTGATTATTTTTAGTTTTTGTTGCATGCGTATAAATTATCTTAAATTATTACATTAAAATTGTAAATATAGTAAATAGTATATTTTAAAATTGTAACTAAAATCATGTAAAGACACACGTCTGTTGTGTCTAAGGATTACCAAAATAAAGATTTTTATTATTATTATAAGAAGAAATGGTGTCCAACCGAGTGATCTTAGGACAGTATATTGTAGTTTTATCAGACCTGTCATGGAATATGCGTGTCCAGTCTGGCATATCTCGTTACCAAAGTTCCTGACTGATAAATTAGAGCACATTCAGACAGGGCCTCTTTTAACATAAAGACTGGGGGGGACATGGCCCCCCAGCCCCCCTTACTGCCCCCCCAGTCGGAAATTTTGTCCCCCCAGTAGAAAGTCCCTTTTCATATTTTTTGGTGTGAAAATAACTCCCAAAGTCAATATTGGACAACATAATTAATCCTTATTCCAGTATTCCTTTCGCAGAATCTCTGCTATTCCTTTGCCTTCCCTTTCTGGACAATGAAAAATAGAAAAATAGTCAAATAGGAAATTTCGATCTGCAAAAAAATATTTTTCAAAGTGGGACTGGGAACGAAAGTGGGAACATTGGGATTTTGGGGGAAATCTCGGGATATTCGGGAAGCTTAGTTGGGAATTTCAAAAACATAATTTACATCAAAATTTACATGCAAATTGCTTGCCTTTGTTTGTACTATTAGTATTAAAAATGCCGTATGCAAATAAAAGAAAAGCGAATATTGAAAAACTGTTAAAACAAGAAGCGAGTAAATGCAAAAAGGTATCGGATTTCTTCACAAGAACGAAAATGCAAGAACATCGTCATCGACATCGTGCGATACAAACGTTGAGAAGGAGTCAGAACAATTATTAAATATGGCGCCAATTGAAGTGGAAAGCGAAGTACAAGGCACTGCAGCTACTGGAGGCACTGACCAAGGAGAACCTCGTAAAGACAATGAATTCGAACTGAATGAAGTGGATTTTGATATTCGAAATTCAGATAGGGAAGGTAATGTTCAATTTGTTCATACACGGGCTCCTTCGAATAATATTCCAAGCAATACTACACCTTCGACCTTATCGTCAACAAGCTCTGCAAATATAAACAGCATTACTTTGGTTACAACAAGTGACGTTGGTTTGCCAATAAGCACAGCAAACACATCGTCAACGCAAATGACTACTGAAACCACTACTGAGTATTACAGAGGCTACCCATTAAACCTAAAAGCACTTCTAGGAAAATTTGGAGATGGTGTACTATCTCAATATTATGAACGAAGTAGAGTTTCAACGCAGAATCGCCAGAAAGCTAGGGTTTTTGTCAAGTGTTGCATCTGTGGTGAATTCGAAGAGGAAGCAAAGCGCTTTTCAGCTAATGGTAGATTGTACATGGCACAAGGTGTGCGTTGTGATGGGAAGAAAAAGATACAAGATGTAATTGATCATCTACTGGGGCCTTCACATAGAGCAGCTCAAGAAAAGAAACAGCTATCCAAGTTGTGGAATGCCAAAGACAAACGTCACCCATTTATTAACTTGGCAACAAAAATCCAACAGTTTTGAAGACCTTGACTGAAATGGCAGTAGAGGTCTATAATGACAGTAAATCTTTGACTTTAGCTGCCTGGTCATGGCCAGGTAGATCTCTTGCTAATTTACATGCACAACAACAGTTTAGGTCTTTAACTGACAGTGACAACGTACAAAGTTTTACCCCGTTTAAACCAAGAGGAGAGGAACTTCATTATAGGGATCCAATGCATTATGCAGAAATGTTGGAGATAATAGGAGATACAGAGAGAAAGCACCTTAGAGAAGAACTCCAGAATTGTATTTGTTTTGCTGCACAAATGGATGGTTCTGTCGATGCTAGGTAACAAGATAAGAAATTTATATTTGTTCGATTCAATACACCCGAGGACCCTCTTTTTATTAAGACAAGATTTGCAAGTGCAAGGGAAAGTACCAAGCGTGGTGCTGAAGGTTTGTGTTCTGCCATGACAAACTGTTTTGATGACATGGGCCTTTCTAAAGAATGTTTGCAGTCAAAATTTGTTGGGATGAGCACCGATGGAGAGTCTGCAAACACTGGTAAGGATTCTGGACTGTGGGCTAGAGTTGAAAATTATGTTGGTCGTTCAACAAGAAATATCTGGTGTGCATGTCACCGATCAGACTTAGCGATGGAAGATGTGATGAGGTAATAATAATAATAAATTAATAATAATAAAATAATGATTACAATATTTCATTAGGAAGTCCACTCACAAAAGAGATTTTAAGTGAAGCCCTGAGCAAAAAAAGATAAAAAAATAAATTATAAGGCTATATTAATGTTAACATTTATAATGTCTTTGGTTGGTACCTGAACTGAAAATCTGGCTTTCCAATGTAACGGGAGTAGCTACTTATTACCGCACATCAGGCCTAAGGACTAAGGAGTTGAAGACCATAAAACCAGACATGAGAAGTTTTCCTCCTCATCATGAGGTAAGGTTTGCTCAACATCTTGTTCAACTTTGTGGAGCGATACTATTCAATTTAGATGGATGTTTAAAGCACTGGCAAAAGATTTGTGATGCTCCTCGAGAATATAATACCAAGGAGGTATCGTCTGCAAAAGGATTTTTAAAGTTGTGGCAACCAACAGGAGTGCAAGCATGGCTAACTGCCGTTATGGTGGACACATGCTGTATCTTCAGATATATTGAAAAAGAAGCCCAGAAGCCTGGCATTATCATTCCGGATATCTTGAAGTACAGAGATACTGCCTTGCAAAAACTTGATATAATGCAAACAGAGCCATATCCAGGTAAAATATATATAGTTAGTAAGTTACTTTGTTTATAGAAAACAAATTGAACTCACTCTTATTTGAGTTCTTTAACAAAGGTGTATTATTCATTACATTGTATGTTATTTTACTGCACATAGGTGGGCAGGAGGGGTTATTAACAAGGAAGATTGCAGAACTGCATCCAGAGAATGATGAAGCAGTGGATAATACACCAAGAAGGACACACAACACCAATGTGACAACGTTTCGTAGAGGAAAACAACCTATCAGGCAAGAGGTTATTGATTCTTCAAGGAATTTTCTCCAGGTAAAATGAGATAAATAGGTAATCTCATATCTGTTTAGCAATCAGGTCACACCATATAAAGTTTTTAATTACTATTACCTATATTTTTTATGTATATCATTATCATGTTTAGACCAGGCTCAACGAGGAACAAACAGAAATTGTAACAACCATTATCAACTTGACCTCAGCAAAACGTGCAATTGAATTCATCAACATTGCATTACCTCAACTTGAATCAAGTGGAATCAGTGATAAACAAGCATTTATTGATGCAGTTTTAGAAAATTTTACGGAAATGCTTCCTGATACACATATTCCTGCAAGAGACTATGGTGTGAGACTCTACCAAATGCTAAGGGGCAGCAAACAACCTGTGACCAAGTTTTTGTCAGGTTTTTGTGTTCTCTGCCCTCACAGTATGACGGTGGAAAGATGTGTGTCAACGTACAACATGTTATTCTCCAACCTGAGAATGGCCACATCTGAAAAAACACTGAATGATAGGCTATTGATTCACTGGAATGGAGTGCCAACATCTCAGTTTGACCCCAGTCCTATGGTGCAAGAATTTCTACAGAAAAAACAGAGGCGAATGAATCTTCCTAATCTGAGTTCATATGCGGAACGTGACTTCGTAAAGAAGTTTTTTACATCGGACTGCTGGTTGATAGATTACATGTATATAGTGGTATACTGTATAGATGAGTTTCACTAGCTGCCTGGCAATTATATATAAGTGAGAAAAAGGTGTGTTGACAACTTGACATTATTTTCTAAATTTGACCATAATCTGCTGCCCTAGAGCGAAACCCATATTTAAGCTAGTAGCCGCAATTTTATAGACTTTAGTAGATTTTTTTCAGGTCCCCTTTTTACGTTATTTTTGGTCCCTTGGGAAAGATGTCCCACCCAGTTACATATCCTTAAAAGAGGCCCTGCTAGATAGTGCATCTAATTATTCTGCAATTCAAAAATTGAAGCCGTGATTGCAGACTCAGGATATTCCCATGGAATGAGAAGATTCGTATGTTTTTTTATTTCTTAAACAGGGATCTTAAACATTGAGTTAAACCTATTCCAGATACATTTTCAAACTATCCCAATGATGAAAGTCATTGTTGTTTTTTTAAGCGTTTAGTAGAGAGTGGGAACTACCGACATGGCCGCCATCTATTCAAATGGGGGTAACCGCTGGAATATTCTTGGCTTCAATTTTACTAAAGAAATGCGCTATCTAGTGTATACAAGATATCTACAGTACAGGGTGTCCCAAAAAAACCGAAAACTATTGAAATCAGCAATAACAATTTAATTGTTAGAATTTGAACGCCTTAGCGCTCTGTTGGTTCCCACGAGTGCATAAATGATTGACATAAGTAAATGTTATGCATAAAGAAACTGTTTAAGAAGCTGTTTTTAATTCCCAGGAGCAGAAAATTGCGCACTTTACCAGGAGATATTCGTAACTAAATTCTAATACATGCATCTTGTCAATATTTTACGCATCATTACGTCCAGCTGTTTGGTAGGGCATTCAAATTTAACAATAAGTGATTTCAATAGTTTTCGGGTTTTTTGGGACATTATACGTACTGTTAAACACTGCGATAGGGACATTTTAACTTAGGTGACAATAGTACAAACTTTGTTTTTTTATAGAGTGCATCGTAATGGCACTTGTGAAGAATAATAAAATTGTGAAGAATAATAAATTACATATTACAATATAAACAACTAATTAATAACATAACACGACCCGTCTCGGGGACTTTAATTGATCATATTTACACCTCTAATGATGAACATGTTTTAAGGAGTGGCATAATCGAGATTGGGCTTAGCGACCACTTCCCCATATATATAACTCGTAAAGTTAATCCACACATATTTAGTAACCAGAAATATCACCAAACTATAACTTACCGCAGAATTAAGCATTTAAATGTATCTCGGTTCTGTAGTGACCTTGATACTCTGCCTTCTACCACATTAGAAATATTTGACTCTCCTGACGATCAACTTGAAATATTTTATGAACATTTTAATTCGGTATTAAATACCCATGCACCTCTCATAAAAAAACGAGTCAAATCTAAGAAACGTGCGGGATGGTTTTGTGAAGAAATCCGCATAGCTCAACACAATCGCGATTACTATCTTAAAATGTTCCGGAAGAATGCGAATGATGCTCACAATACTAATTGGTCTCAATATAAGACTTGGCGCAATAGGTCTGTACATTTGATCAGGAATGCAAAAAACTCGTATATAAAAACACTTCTTAATGACAATTCTACGAATTCTAAACAAATTTGGCGAGTTTTGAAATCAACTATAAATCTTAATAAGGCTCCTCCCCCTCTATCTTTAGTTATTGATAATGTGAGATATGACAACCTTGCAATTGTCAGTAATCTCTTTAACGAATATTTTACCAACATTCAGGACAAGTTTGACATGAGTGAGGCTGTTGACTACAGTCAGTCAGCCTTCTCGTTATCTGTTAGGCAAACTAAATTTAGTATCCCCCCTATTACTATTGAGGAGGTTTCTGATTCCCTGAAACAATTGAACCCCTCTAAAGCGACCGGAATTGATGGTCTTCCCGCCCACTTCCTAAAGTTCCCTGCAAACATGATCTCCAATACTGTTACCACCCTATGCAACTTAAGCATCAGCACAGGTATCTTTCCAGCCTTGTGGAAAAAAGCAAAATTAATCCCAATACACAAATCTGGCGAAATGAGTGAAAGAGGCAACTTTAGACCAATTTCTATCCTGGTTATTCTCTCAAAAATCCTTGAAAGACATGTGTTTAATTCATATTTTTTATATTTAACTGAGCATGAAATTCTATCCGATTACCAACATGGATTCAGACCTGGCCACTCGTGCGAAACGTCATTAAACATGATTTACGAATACCTTGTTAACAATACTGTTAATGGAGAAATTAACGGTGTTTTGATGCTTGACTTTTCCAAAGCCTTCGATTTAGTGGATCATATTATTTTGCTCCAAAAAATCCACGCGTACGGGGCTACTGACCTAACCCTAAAATGGTTAGCCTCGTATCTTGAAGGACGAACTCAACAGGTACAAATTAACGAAGTCCTTTCTGAACCTTTAACAATTATTACTGGGGTCCCTCAGGGTTCCATTTTTGGCCCGTTACTATTCTTAATATTTATCAATGATCTTCCATCTTTTCTTACTACCTCACATCTTTCTCTTTTTGCGGATGACTCGACTCTTTTAGGCCATGGCTGTGAGCTACCTGATATCAAAGCTTCTTTGTCAACTGATTTGTGTATTACCTCTAATTGGGCAAGAAGCAACCATATGGTTTTAGATTTTAGCAAAACCAAATTCATGAAAATTTATTCAAAGCGTAAGTATTCACAGCTTGATTATGATAGCATACTTTATGAGGATTTTTGGATTGAAGAAATTACTTCTGGCAAACTTTTAGGTATCTTACTGGATGAAAATCTCTCCTGGGACAACCAAGTGGATAAGATATATAAATACCTTAATTCCAGGCTTTATCTATTTAAGCGTATTTGCCCAGCCCTTCCACTGAAATGTAGAATTAAGTTTTACTATGCTTTTATTTACCCCCATTTACTTTATGGCATCACTATTTGGGGCAATGCACGCAATGAGCTTATCGACCCTTTGCTTAAACTTCAAAAAAGAGCAGCCAGATTGGCTTTGGCAACTCCTTCTGTTAATCTGTTCCGCAAACTGGAATGGATTCCCATCTATAACTTAATCAAGATGCGAAAAATTTTACTCGTTGTAAGCACCTTGCGCAGCTCATCTCCTAGTGATCTGCGCGAGTTGTTTTGTTTCTCCGGGGCATCGCACGGTGTATATACTCGCTCCTCTGTTACTGATCTCAAAATACCATCTGTCAAATCTAATCTTTCCAAGACCAAACTCTCATATAGCGGTGTTTTACTTATCAATTCTTTACCAAATGACCTGAAAGTGTTTAACGATTACTCCCCGTCTGCATATAAGCATAAAGTTAAGAGGTTTTTCTCCAATCTTAATCATGAGGTTGACCATTTTGAACAATTTTCGTGTCTTTCTTGTAAAAACCTAGTTAAGTGTATTTGTTACTCGCACTGAATTTTCTTTTAATTTTTAATAACTTATATTGTCAAAACTAAAAAAAAAACAACAACATGCATGCTTAATAATACAGTTATTTTCGTATTTGGTACTATAAGTTGTATAGTCCCATATGTCTGTGTCAAATGCTACTATAGACTTGCTTCTTTGTATATATTGTAAATACTGTAGGTTATCTCTATCTTTGTATATATTGTAAATACTGTAGGTTAGAGGGCCATTTGGTAGAATACCTTCTCAGGTAAAAATTTTAATTTACCCTCATCAAATAAAGTTTATTATTATTTATTATTATAAAACGACTATACCGGTATCAGATCTTATTAATTATTAACACAATAAACGAAATCCAGCGCCAACCCCCATTCTCTCGAACCCCGCTGAAGGCTAGTTTCCACTCAAGAAAATTATCCGTGGATTGGAACGGACAAGAAAATTTTTCTCTGTGTTAAAGTCATTAGTTCCAAACCAAAGCTCACAAGACAAAGAAAAACTTTCTTGTCCGTTCCAATCCACGAATAATTTTCCTGAGTGGAAACTAGCCGACTTAACTCGAACAATTTTTCGCTTCCCTTGGGAGGTGCTACTGTACCTGAAAATATAAGCAGAATTTCGGCGTTTCGAGCGAAGGCCCGGCTAGCGTAACTATAGCTTCCTGCACGAAGGGCCTTCGCTCGAAACGTCGAGGTTCTGCTTATAGCTTTTTCAGGTAGTTGTATCTCTCGTAATCCGCAGCTGTCTTGATAGGAGTTCTTGCTTGTTTGATCAGTGTTAATCCAGTGTTAATATTATATATATAATAAATATTTATGAGTGCAATGGTAAGAATATTTTCATGAGGTAAAAGATGGAATGTTCCATTTAACGAGCCGACAGCCGAGTTGAATGGAACATTCTATCTTTCACCTCATGAAAATATTCTTACCATTGCACGAATAAACATTCATTATTTGTTCTATATAATGCTAAAATAGACTAATAGATTCGTATGAGAAGCATTTTGATGGATGCGATTTATCAAAAACACAAAGAGTGCAATGGAATAAAACGTATACTATACAATTGCACTCGCAAAGAATGCAATGGAACGTATTCCATTCCACTCTTGGGAAATGGAATTTTTTATTCAATATCACGTGACCATAAACGGCCAATTAAACTATCAGAATTCAATAAGGTATTATACAATATACTCTTATCAACGCCCCCACAACTCCTGATCAACGCATGGAAATTTCTCGCGAAAGTTAATTTAAAACTCTCATGCAAACCCTCGCTTTCATTGGAAAAAAATTTTGAAATTCACACTATGGAATTTGCGATTGCATCACAAAATCCACAGTATATCCATACTACAGAACAATATTTCCATACTATATATATCCATAGTACGGAAATTACAAGTAGTAAAAAATTGGTTTTCCATAGTAAAGATTTTGAAAAAAATGCCATTGTTCTCAACTCTCATCAATTACTCTCATCAGACATGGAGAGAGTGAATTAATCTTCCTTGGGCCCAGAGTTGCCCTTTTCAAATTTTATGTTCCTCAAAAGTGCGTAAAAAAATGCGATTTTACTCACAATTCCTCAGTAGCCCTTCTTAACTTTGCTTTTTCAGCTAGGATAGAGTTTGCCAGCTCAGAGTTTGTAGGACTGAGTGGAGGAGAGTTAACGAATGATACATTTCCGTTCACTTTCTAAAGACACAAATAATTCAATTCAGATAGTGTAGACTGATATACAACTAGGCCTATATAGCTCTAAAAATAATACACACTTATCAAAGCAAAGCCTGTGGCCATCATGTTAACAATACAATGTAGTATACAGTATGGCCAAAGTCAAAACTGGTTAATTTACCTTAGACATAAAACTTCTGTCTGCTAGTAGTTTATGCATTTCCTATAAAACACAGTACTGTACATCAAAAGACCGTCTGGAAACACTGTAGCTTCAACAAGAATACAACAGCTACTGTATATTGGTAACAGTTATTAAACTGTCTCACAAACTGAAAATGATTCGCAATGACACAATGCATGTAAGCTTATAAGGCCGCTTTCCACTTTGAAAGCACGGTAGCGTTTTCTTTTGTGTTGAAGGTCATTGGTTCCACTCTAGTGTTCAGGAAAGAATGACATACTGTATATGCTACGCACAATATGGTTGAAGTGGAAAGACGCGTATAGCCTGTGCCACAAGCTTAAACGTACTTATACCACAGATCTAAGGCACCAATATACATGTCGTAATTTTGTTTCACTCATACCTCAGCAGTCGAATCTCTTTGATGGACGAGAAGGATCATCTGATCATACATCTATTCACAATATGTTAGAAGTTCGCTGAAAATAAAAAATTAAAGCCCTTTTGTCCTGGAATTTTATTTTTTATACTTACAGAAATGTATCCATCGATACATATCACTAAAAGTAATCACCGTTTATAATACTTATTCATGGGATAAAGTGACCACTTCTTTGAAAGAAAAGACTTTATCAACTTTCTCTGTTATCTAGATATAAAATTAAGGCAAAGATAAGAAAATGAATGAATGTATATACAGTAGTTATTTTTTGTAATGTTGAATGTTATCATACTCCGTCTGTTAAAATACTGCTGTTAAAAACTTGCCCACAGTATATGGGACTGGTCATAACGTATTTATTAGGGGGTGTGGAGGATATTCTGGGGGGGGGGGTTACGAAAAACCCCAGAACTTCTGAATGGGGTACGAAAAAACCCAGAACCTCAAAGGGGGGGGGGGGCAAAATCGTAGTACTAGGTATGGGAAAAAATTACATTTTATAATTATTGTTGAATATTAAATGTATTTGTGCTCAGATTAAGTCTGGAAAGAATTATTCTGCTATAATTGTTGTTAAGTGAACACAAAGTATATATGTTTCAATCTGACCATGGATAATAAAATACATAGATAGAAAACTAACTGACGTGACCTAATGTTTTCAATGGGATGATGGTGTTGAGACCTAGTTGCAAGCCAAATTCCCCAAAACACCATGTTTAGCGATAATACAGCCAAACATTTTAGTCAAAGAGCAAATAAATGTATTAAACAAGGCCATTCTACGATTAGTCTAGGATCTGTATATGAGTTTGTATGCGATTTATTTGGGACAGGTAATCTCAACTGTTTTAGGGTAAAATGACCATGGCGGTCAACATGGCATATGTGCGAAAACCTGAATCCTGGACGAAAGTCCTGAAAATGACCCCGCCCTGAAACGGCAGTGTCTACATAGCTCTAATTTCCGAAAAGGAAAAGCGATAGCCTTTCTGAAGTGCTTATAGTGTTTAGAAGGGTTGCTTTTAGGGGTGGTTATTGGAAGGAAATTGTTGATTTCATAAGGATTGTCATTGTTTTCTTTAAATATAATACATTTTATTTCACTTACCCCCCACGAAAACACGATTTCAGCCATATTTGTCGTCTTGTTTGTTTTTTTATCGCCGAATCTCGCAAATATCATCCAGTTATTGTACTTTTACATAATCATAAATGGCTGAAGAAGATTTCAAAGAAGGTTTCATCCACTTTTGTAACAGTGCAGTGTATTTTACCTTCGATATTTTGTCCTTGGATATTCCGCCAAATTGCCGCCATTTTAATGGCTCGCCGCTTCTCTGTCTGATAAATGCAACTTCTTCGTTTCTATATGTATTTAGATTACAGTATCCAAGAGTACTTCATTGTAGAATAGTCCCAATCCAAAAATTGGCAACATTTGTCCCATTAGGAAGGAAAAATCCTCCCGTATACCATTTAGGTTCAAAATAAAAAACAAATCATTTGAAAGTCACGCGCAATCTTCAGGAAAACTTCTCGTGGACACATGACAGGGGGGGTTGAATATTTTCACGAATATGTTCGCCACCACAGAAACATAACTAAATATATTGTATTTATTGTATTTTTATGATTTATGACAAAACTACGCAAATATTTATTGTTTTTATATAAATCATAAAAATACAATAAATACAATATATTTAGTTATGTTTTTCCTTCCTAATGGGACAAATATTGCCAATTTTTGGATTGGGACTATTCTACAATGAAGTACTCTTGGATACTGTAATCTAAATACATATGGAAACGAAGAAGTTGCATTTATCAGACAGAGAAGCGGCGAGCCATTAAAATGGCGGCAATTTGGCGGAATATCGAAGGACACAATATCGAAGGTAAAATACACTGCACTGTTACAAAAGTGGATGAAACCTTCTTTGAAATCTTCTTCAGCCATTTATGATTATGTAAAAGTACAATAACTGGATGATATTTGCGAGATTCGGCGATAAAAAGCAAACAAGACGGCAAAATATGGCTGAAATCGTGTTTTCGTGGGGGGTAAGTGAAATAAAATGTATTATATTTAAAGAAAACAATGACAATCCTTATGAAATCAACAATATTTATATTAAATTAAGCATAGTTTTTCACCCCATGATAATTTTTTTTAGGAAATAAGAATATTTAATTTCTGCCAGGCATATTAGTTATTTTGTGCATAATCAGCAATTTACCTGGGGTGGTGCATAGTCATTTTCTGGTAAAATATTATACTTAGACAAATTTTTCCTTCCAATGACCACCCCTAAAAGCAACCCTTCTAAACACTATAAGCACTTCAGAAAGGCTATCGCTTTTCCTTTTCGGAAGTTAGAGCTATGTCGACACTGCCGTTTCAGGGCGGGGTCATTTTCAGGACTTTCGTCCCGGATTCAGGTTTTCGCACATATGCCATGTTGACCGCCATGGTCATTTTACCCAAAACAGTTGAGATTACCTGTCCTAAATGAATCGCATACAAACTCATATA